TAGCTGGCAACAGTGTTGCCAGTTAATTACTGTAATAGAGCAGTAGTGGTAACTAACTGGAAACTGTGTACAGTTAATAACTGTACTGTAGTGTTACAACTCACAGCATTATACTGCATACACAATAGTATGTCAAGGTGTTACTAAAATTAATTAGTATTCTTACCTGTTATTAATTCTTTAAATTAATTAAGTTGTAAATTCTGACAAATTTATTTTATTGTTTTGGCAGCGAACAAATATAAAACAGAAAATGTATAACAAAATTAAGAAATCAGCAGACATAAATATCATCTTACATATTACTGAGAGCCACAGGTCTGCACAGCAAGGCTGCAGTCAAATTAACGTTTAAGCATGCAAAATTCTGTCACATGGCTCTGGGAAAAGGAGTATTAAACAAAATATTTAGAGATTGAAAAAGCAAGCAACTGGTCCATAATTTTTGTTTAGAGAGGTCATGGTTTGATCTTTGATTTGTCTCAAGCAATCACATGATGTGATTTCGCAGTTCAGAGTTCTCCAAACTTGAACTTTCCAATGCTGCAAACTGTAAAATTTGTCGCATGAGCATGCATTTCAGGTCTGCAGCATTCACATGCATATGAATGGAAGTCTATAGGGAGAAAAGTTCAGTGTGACCGGGACTTTAAGCTGTAACTCTAATTAAACACACCTGATAAAACTAATTAAGGCTCGTTAGAAATCTACAGGTAATGTTGAAGCAGGGTGGGAACTAAACTCTGCTGCCCTGCAGTTCTCCAGTAACTTGGAGTTTGACCCCATGGTATATAGCAGGGGTGCTTAATCCTGTTCCTGGAGATCTACGTTCCGCAGATTTCAGTTGCTACCCATATCAAACACACCTGCCTGTAATTATCACGTGGTGTTCAGGTCCTAATTCATTGGTTTAGGTGTGTTTGATATGGATAGCAACTGAAATCTGCGGAACGTAGATCTCCAGGAACAGGATTAAGCACCCCTGATATATAGCATACTTTTAAAGCAACTGCTAACATTTATCACAATCACATATCCAATAAACACACACACACACAAAGTGCTGCAGTGAAATGTGTTACTCTCTCCTCAATGCTGACCATGCAAAAAAAAAAAAAAAAAAAAAAAAGTTTAAAATAATTATAGAAAACAAAAATAAAGTTGGCAACACCGAAAAACCAAAGGATCCAATCTTTTATTGTTATAATTATCTCATGACAACAAACTTTTTTATTGTTTCAAATATAAATTCATAGATGAAAACACAGCTCTGAAAAATACTTAGCAACAAACTCACAACCTGGGACCTGACAGTGGAGCTTTTGTGTGTGGATGGCTATGTGTATCATGTTTTTGTGACTCCCTGTGATGATGTGCACATGTTACCTTACTGAGATGATGCAATTTAATTTTGGCTTAGTTGCCAGAAAGATACATACAACTGTTAGCATCTGTACATTATGGCAGTATGCAATATCCAATAAATACATAAACTTAAACAAAAGTAATGTAAGAAGTTATATGAGGAGAGGCTAACTAGCTAACAATGTAGCTTTCAAGTACACAGTTCAAGATAACAACAATATAACTTAAAACACAGCCTTATTTTATAAACCCTCAAAAACATTTTAACACATTTTACTTACTCATTTTAGATTCTTATTTAAAGCCTAAAACATATCAGACTCAACATCTGAATTGATGGACAGAGAATAGAGCACACTCAGCAGTAAACAAATCAAACACCTGGCTCTAATTAAACACACCTGATCAAACTAAATGTAAAGGTAGTGTGTTGAAGCAGGGCTGGAACTAAATTCTACTAGGCTGTGGCCTTCCAGGAGTTTGACACCCCTGGTACATAGCATATTTTCAAAGCAACTGCCTACATTTATCACAGTTATGCACATATTGTTTAATAAAAACAATAAAAATATACTATAATATAAACTTCATCCATAGAAAAAATAAATAAATAAATAATCTAATTCTCATGTTGTTCCAAATCTGTAGTAATAATAAAAAACACAACAAATATCATGATTTATACATTTATTTAGGAAAGCCTTTAAACTGTTAATGGCACTTTTACTTGCCAGTTTTACAGGCAAATTCATTGAGTCTCTGCAAAAATGTATATGCGTGTTGTTTAGGATATATATATATTTTTTAAATAACACATTTTTACTAGTTATTTAGCAAAAAACTAATATTCAGTTGAAAGTGCGATTTAAAATCTTAACTATTGGTCAAACTAGGCAATTAAATTAGATTAATTATAGAAAAACTAAACAAAGTTATAAAAATTATTGTGACAATTTCTTTGCTCTGTGTGAATATTTTTGCCTTTAAATGCATTTCGTCCATATCTTACACTTACCTTTTAATAAGCTCTGTGGCATTGGTTGACTCCTGATACTCAATGTTAAAAACATAAAAGGAACCAAAGAAAACACAGAGATAAAATAAATATAAAATAGCAACATAAAGCATCAGAGTAGATGGGGCAGTAATGGTTGAACAGTAATTTACCATTTATTATCACAGTAAATATCTGTAATGGTACATAGAGTAAATTACTGTAATTTATTCTTTGCACTACAGAATTTCATACAAATCCTGCTCCTTTTACAGTAAAATACTGTTTCTTTTCATTACAGCTAAACACTGGCTATTTTACAGTTATTTACTGCATAATCTACAGTAAGGGTTAACAGTGTGTGTTTATGACAACACTTAAAAATAAAATGAATATAATGACAAGATACCAGCTTGCAACATCAAGCAGCATAACAAGCTTTTTTACAGCTTAAACTCAAAGGAAGATTGGAAAAAATCAATGGGAGTTCAGACTTCTGGAAACAGGTTTCAATGGCCACTTGAATGTAAATGAATAAGATATATTCATTTAGCTATTTATCTAGCTATATATAGTGCTCAGCATATATGAGTACATCTCTCACAAATCTTTCATTTAAATTCATATTTTCTATAGGAAGCTTTACAATATTATATTTGTGCATATATATTAGATTTACCAGTACTAAACCCAAATCTGGAGCTCATCTAACAAAATATCTTACAATAACAGTCCAAAAATTAGTAGCTCAAAATTTATTTGTTTTGGAAAAATAGGAAATATGATTAAAATAAAGAGCAAAAATCAAGAGCAGCAAAAGAAAAAAAATTTTTTTTTTTGTTGAAATTTTGCAGTTTGTAATATTTTTTTGCAATATTTCACATGAATTTAAATGTATTATCTTTCTATTTTTAAAGATTTTCAGTGAATAAAATATTATTTTAATAAATATATCTGTTTTTTTTTAAATGTGCCAATATACTGTATATTACCTATATTCACTGAGAAATAATTAGAAACTATAACTTTCAAAATGGGGTGAACTCATTTATGCTGAGCACTGTAGCTATCTACAGTATCAAATCTATCTATTGTAGTTAACTTGAAATACATTGTTTCTATAAATAAAATCTAAACAAAATATTCTCCATCCTTCATAGAAATCATATAAATGGTCCTATATGAAAATACATATAAAATTATGGCTAATAAATTTGAACATATATGTAATTTCAACAGTTGAAAATACAGTATATGTGTAAATAGACATTTTGCAGAATGTTAAGATGTTGCAAATATGGCATATTTTGTGAAATTATTGATTCATTGATTCATTCATTTTCTTGTCGGCTTAGTCCCTTTATTAATCCAGGTCGCCACAGCGGAATGAACTGCCAATTTATCCAGCAAGTTTTTACGCTGGAAGGATGCCCTTCCAGCCGCAACCCATCTCTGGGAAACATCCACACACACACATTCACACACACACTCATACACTACGGACAATTTAGCCTACCCAATTCACCTGTACCGCATGTCTTTGAACTGTAAAGGGAACCGGAGCATCCGGAGAAAACCCATGCAAATGCAGGGAGAACATGCAAACTCCACACAGAAACGCCAACTGAGCCGAGGCTCGAACCAGCAACCTTCTTGCTGTGAGGCAACAGCACTACCTACTGCGCCACTGCTTCGCCCATTTTGTGAAATCATGACATGAATTTGTCTGTCATATATGTAACTTACATACATTTTAAGTGGATCATCACCTTTCATCAAAGTTGTCCCAAAACTATTGAACAACCTCCTATCTTGTCCTAGGACTCTAGCAGGCACACAACAGCATAGGACAATAATATTAGGTTAGATTTAGGTTGTGATGCCAGGCGACCAAAATTCTATGTCTAGCCAGCATCTAACAATGTTATTTTGATGTCCAATAACAACGTCAAATTATGTTGATATTTGGTTGATTTTAGGTTGTGTTAGAAAGTGACCAAAATCCAGCGTCGAGTCAACATCTTAAGCCAACGTCATATTGACATCAAATACTGACATATCATCAGGTATGGCAACCTAAATCCAACGTCTGATTGATGTCATAGTGGTAACGTCCGCACAACGTCAAGCTGTAACATCATTTATATTTGGTTGGTTTTAGGTTGGACGTTGGACATTGGTCTGACGGGTTCTGACGTCAACCCGATTTTCATTCCCGATTTGACATCCTGTGCCTGCTGAGACAATTTTGAAAAACATTTTTAATTCCCTTTGAATTTTGACTAGCTACTCCTATATTACATTTCTATATAGGATTGTAGTTCTTTCCCGCATATACTAAAACAAGGGTGTGGGCACTAATGAGTTTGCAATAATTTTCAACCATTAAGGATTATGAAAGTCTGCACTGATTGGTTACACTCACATTAGCTTTAATAATTTAATCAGAGTTCAGAGTCTAAACCATTCCCTAATAATCCGCAATTATGCAAGTATCCAGCTGTTTCCTCAGGACACTCGTCAACATAAAAGTTGTGAGCCACAGTTCCGCAAACTGTAATGCAGCAAATAATTAGATAATGTATTTTCATCGAGCGCGTTAAATGTTAGCGTCACTTCCAGCTGCGCTAGTGGCGCAATCTCCTCCCCATTCCAGCAGAATCAGTCCGCTTGAGAGTCTGTGGAGGAATCGCGAAGAGCAAGATGGCGCTGTGTCGTTCAGCACTGAACAGCTCCCATCAGGCTTATTAACAAACTGCTCATTCGGGGCTTGAAACATTAGAAGGAAAGCACTGACAGAATTTCCTTCTGTTAAAACCTCCTCAGCCAAACGCACAAGGAGTGCGCTCGTCGTTTGGTGCAGAGAAGCAGAAGCGCCCACCGCAGAGACCCTACAAACGAGAATGACCAGAGAAGACTCGCATCAACTCGGCAGTGGCTTGCGGTGAGACGCGTCTTGAAGATAATGCACTGCAAAACCAGTGGATTCATCCAGCTATTCCCGTGTTTGATCTCCGTGACATGGAGGAGCGCGAGAACGACGTGTTTGAACAGAAAATAAACTCTTGTATTTAACAGCAGAGACACCGTTGCTGGACTTCGCGTTATCTTCAGTATGTCAGGGACTGTAACACTGTTGGTCATGTCTGCGTCGTTTTTCAACCCCAGTTTTGCGCTGAGCTCTCATTTTGACTCAGGTAAGCTTTTATAATCACTTGTATTCATATTATTAATGCATGCCGAGTGGTGTCATGTAACATTTACCAGAAGAAGAAAAATGTTTTCTTTAGAGATGCGCAAAATCTGAGCAGCTAATAAACCTACATCGCGTTTTTACTGAATAACACTCGCATTATGAAGAGCGTTTGTTTTTAATCAGCAGATTTTATCCTTTGTTCTGAGCATGAGCCGTATGTGAAAGCTGACAAATTACTCTATTTGCCTCTCCACACGTCCACTGATTCACATGTCGAAGGTGAGAGGTGGAGGTGTAAGATTGGGCTATTGATGCACAGGTAGCCGTTTCTGATTGGACAAACAGGACACTGTCCACCTCTAGGGAGTTGTGTGTGTAGTGAGGAGATAATTAAGATTGTAATGACTGGTAATTGAAGAAGAGTATAACCTTTGGGTCATGACAAGGTCAGTTAATGGAATTAGAGAAAGACACATACCTTTTACCCTTAAAAGCAATTAACAATTAGCATCAAGCTGCTTTTATATGTATATTGTTATACATCATGAAAAGTGTTTAGATAAAATGGACATACAATTCATTATTGCTCACCTGCATTAGATGAAAAAGCTACAAATGTTGGTAAAGCCAAAAAAAAAAAAAAAAAAAAATTATGACATGAATTGAAGGAAATACAGTTGAAGTGAAACATTTTCTGATCTTTGTCATTGATGTTTTAAAAAAAATCTTACTGCTAAACTGTAATAGCAATGATTGGGGCTGTTTAAACAAACAAATTCATAGTGTTTCTATGACTTTTAGCCAATCGTTTACTTCATAACAAGGTTTGTGAAGCTTTTGAAAATGCAAATTTTTATAAACAGGGTTTCAATAAGGCTTGAAAACAGTCCCATTATCATCTCTGTGTAAACAGCAAAAAATGAAAATGAAAATGGTGATGATATATATATATATATATATATATATATATATATATATATATATATATATATATATAATATATTTATTTATTAATTTATTTATTTTTACCATTGCCAACTACCAGCCTGGTATACAAAGTACATCTTATTTTTTGTAATTTTCAAGGATCTGTGCAAACATAAATCATTTTAATGATATAGACATTTGTACGTGAAACATTGCAGTAATTCAAAGCATTTTATTTTTTGTAAGCAATGAGCTCTATGCACAGCTAGAGTTTTGAAGCCAGCGATAAACTTCTGGTGAAAGCTTACTGTGACTATTTTAAATTTCACAAGGTTGTTTTTACAGCATCGGTGTTGTAATGTAATTACAATACATTCAATTAAATAGACTTAAGCACCCATTTGGTTGTTCAAGAGTTAAACGAGATGATAGATCACTGTAACCGCTAGTGCCGTCAGTAGCTACAGGTTAGCGCAGAAATTCCATTTAATATACTGGGGTAAAATAAACTGATATATTTTAAAGATATGTCGGGGGAAAGGCAGCACTTCTTGTGTGATCTGAGACCTACTTCATCTAACAGGCAGTGAAGATTGCTGATGTTTAAAAAATCAAATATTAAACGTGACAATTTTGTATGGGAAAGACAGTTCACCGGAAGTCCTTGGGCTGCCTGGCTGAAAATTAAAAGTCCATGTGCGTATAGCCCATCATGGTATAAATAAATAGAATAAATAATAAAAGTCTTAATAATGTCATGATTTATTAGTACATAATATTTACTATAAATTTTTGTTTACAAATTAAATAAAACACACAACAATATCTCCAATCAGTAGTTTTAACTTAACAGTTGGGTTTGTCTCAAATATTTTACCCAAATTTAATTTAAAAATAAATAAATAAATAAATAAACTGTTTTTACACAGTAGAATTTCAATATCTTTTGGGGGTCTGTTTATTAAACCTTTTCAGAAATAGCAGGATAGTTTTACAGAAAAAAATGAAACCAATATTATTCACAAACTTTTTCCATAAATAAAATGAAATTACAATTACAAAATTTACAAAAAACACACACACACACACACACACACACACACACACACACACACACACACACACACACACACACACACACACACACACACACACACAAAATTAAATAATAAAAAAGAAAAGAAAGAATAGTCAATTATGTGTAAAATATATATTGAATTATCTACATTTAGTAATAACCCATGTACAAAGTGCACATGTACATCAACAAACTATAAACTCAATCTTCAGATACTTCTACAATATTCTTAATCAAATTCACTCTGCAACTGAAAAACCCAAATGCTTAGATTGACAGTCTGTAGAAGTCTAAATGGGTCCCAAGTTTCAGAAAAAGCTCTAGAAATGGCATTTATTGTGAACCTATTTTTTTTTTCAAACGAATAAAGGTCATTGCATCTCACAGTAATGATATCTTTGCTAAAAAATCTTGCCCTGTGTTAGCTTTCAAATCACTTGCTCCCTGTTGAGGCGTAGGCTGTACGGTTGGTGAATATTAGTGTTCACTTACAATAAATTTGAAGCCATTGAAATCCTGATCTGAAACACTGTACAGTATTTGTTCTAAGCTACACCTCTGTGTCCCTCTGGATAAAATCTAACAGCATATGGGTTTGGAACAACATCTTTTGTAAATATTGAAACAATTTTTGGGTGAACTATCTCTGTAAAGCCTCCCTATGGAGGGAAAATGAGCCATCGCGTGGGCTGTTACCAGTGGTGAATGGTATTCCCTCGTTTCTAAATTTGGACTCAGCTGTGTGTTTGTTGCCTCCTCAAATGGTTTCTATGGTTACCATGAGGGTCTGCAGAGCTGGATTTAGGAATCTAACCAGTGGTTACATTTCACTGCATTTTATTATTATGATGTGCTATTAATAGCTGTATTGGAGCCACATCTACATGGACCACATCTACATGAATTACCTTTCACAAATTGGAATTTCCATGTTTTACAATTTTACGTTTTCAATTTGGAGCCACAGACCTTATTCCCCTCCTCCGAATGTAATCATGTCCGTCAGCAGTGATGAAGAGGGGAACAAGCTCTATCTGTCAAAGTGATGAATGGATGTAGGACTCATGGTGGAGAGTCTGGGAATGATTAGAGGGAGATAAAGGAAACTGAATCTGCTCTAGTGGTCCTGCTGGGCTTGTTGCAGACCAGGTTGCTGGTTCAAACTGATACATTCATGAGACTTTGGAGCATGCTTGTAGAATATGGGAGAGATTCACCAAATACACAGTTGAAGTCAACATTGTTCGCCCTCCTGTGATTTAAAAAATAAAAATAAAAAAAAACGAGCAACAAATTTTTCACAGTATTTCCTTTAATATTTTTTCTTCTGGAAAAAAGTTTTATTTCTTATAGTTTAGCTAGAATAAAAGCAGTCTTAATTTTAAGGTCAATATTATTAGCCACCTTATGCAATGTTTTTTCTATTGTCTACAGAATAAACCATCATTATACAATGATTACCCTCACTTGCCTAGTTGACCTAATTTACCTAGTTAAGCCTTTAAATTGCACTTTAAGATGAAAACTTGTATCTTGAAAAAGTATCTATTAAAATATGGTGTACTATCATGAAAAAGATTTAAACAAAATGTATATATAAGAAATGAGCTAAATGAGTTAAAACTGGTGTGTTCTCTTCTTTCTATTAAACAGAATTTAATGAAAACAATATACAGGGGGCTAATCATTCAGGAGAGCTAATAATTCTGACTTCAACTGTATCAGTATATTTCAATTTTTACAAAAGACTTATAGTGAGGAATTAGCAATTAAAAAGAAGAACACACTTATGAGGCTGACTTTATTGCATGAAAAGTGAAAGTTTTACATGTGAAAGTACACGAATCTTCTGCAGAGGCTGCATTTTGGCACTGTGATGTCAGATTGAGACAAAATCCAAAATGATCTATTTTGGCATCTTGGTTTCAATAAATTTGGTTTCATCTGGGTTTGCAATAACTTTCAGGATGTTTGCATTAAATTACAACTTTTTTTGTCAAAAGTTTAAAGAGATCAACATTAAGCCTGCTGTAATCTTAATTTAAAGTCTGCATGAATTTGATGCTTTGATACATTATTTTGATGCTTTGATATATACACTACTGGTCAAAAGTTTGGGGTCAGATTTTTTTATTTTTCAAAGAATAATCATTCATTCATTTTCTTGTCGGCTCAGTCCCTTTATTAATCCGCAGTCGCCACAGCGGATTGAACCGCCAACTTATCCAACAAGTTTTTACACAGCGGATCCCCTTTCAGCATCTCTGGGAAACATCCACACACACATTCACACACACACTCATCCACTATGGACAATTTGGCCTACCCAATTCACCTGTTCCACATGTCTTTGGACTGTGGGGGAAACCGGAGCACCCGGAGGAAACCCATGCGAACGCAGGGAGAACATTCAAACTCCACACAGAAACGCCAACTGAGCAGAGGCTCGACCCAGCGACCTTCTTGCTGTGAGACGACAGCACTACCTACTGCGCCACTGTTTCGCATATTATTATTATTATTATTATTATTAATATTATTAATACAGAGATTTCTGAAGGATCATGTGACTGAAGACTGAAGTAATGAAGTTGGGGCATGCATGAAATGTTTCTGAATGAAAGTGAAAGTGCCAAACTGCAATTAAAGTCGACAAATTAAAAATGAAACACCTGAAATTACTTGAAACTCCAGAGAAAATGTGGATATTGTGGTGATGCAATGACGTTAATGGAATTATGTGCTATAACATGTAAAATGGGATCATGAAAGGAACATTCAAAATGCAACTCATGTAAACACCTTCACCTTCAATCGTATTATTGTCTTATTCAGATTAAGGCAAATAATTTGATTACTGATGTCCTTGTAAACGTAGTCATTGTACATTTTGATTTCACATGGATAAAGTCTGGGGAAAATCCTTATTTAACCTCATCATTTGCATTGTGATTGCTTTCTGTTCATTTATCTTGAAGGTGAATGACTCACAACGA